TGATTTTATCCCTCAACCTAAATCAACTTGCATCTAAGACAATCTTTTATGAAAGTTTTACTGTCATGGCTTTTTACTGTATTTTGACACTAGATGAGACCATTGGAGTTAAAAACGAGTTTTTATCCATTGCTGCAGACCTGAACATTGCATCGGTTTAATGTACAGGGTGTCTAAAAAACGGGGAATAAGGGTTGACAGACTCGTTTGTAATTGGATTTTCATGATTGAGACCATTTTTAAAAATCTTTTTACAATTTCCGATTCAATAAGCCCAATTTTAGGTAATAACAATTTTATAAGCTCCGAAAGTTTACAACTGGAGTTAGTAAATTTTGTAAAAATAAATATAATTTTCGTTTGCATATAAGGATCTTTGCAGACTTGTTTGAAATCGGATTATCAAGATTGAGACCATTTTTGATGTCTACGTCAAGTTCCGATTCAATGAGCCCAATCTTTAGACTTGTAGATCTAAAAATAACAATTATACTTTAATAAACTGTTACCTAACATTGAATATAAAACGGAGATTTTCTTTTACTTTTTACTTCTCTCTAGTTGGAAACTTTAGAAGCCTATACAATTGTTTTTTTAGATCTACAAGCGTAAAATTGGGCTTATTGCATCGGAAATTGTAAAAAGATTTTAAAAAATGGTCTCAAACTTGAATCCGATTATGCAAACGAGTCTGTAGACCCTTATTCCCCGTTTTTTTAGACATCCTGTATATGTACTTTATTTTTATATTAAAATATATGTAAGTTTAGGCAATTAACATAAAATGCATCATAAAGCATACAGCAAAGAGCTATATACAGTATAAAATATAAGTTTAAAAGTGGTTGCATAGGATGCATGCATAGAATAGACTCATATATAAGAAAATATATACAAGTTTATGTAAAGCTAAATAACAAAAATATATACAAATAGCTTGGGAACTCCGCGCTGCCCAGGTTACAAATAGTTACTCTCGCCGTTTACCCTCACTTGGACTATTTTACTGGGAAACTAAATTTTCGCTATTTAAATCAACCCACTTAACTTAGAATCTCAAAACAAATATAAGAACATTCCCGTGGGTCTCCCAAGTTTCACAATCACAATTTGAGGCCAATCGGTCCAGGGGTTCCTGAGTTCTGATCGGACAAACAAACAAACAGACAAACAGAGATTACAACTTTATATATAGACTAGCTTGGGAACCCAGCCCTGCCCAGGTTCTGATAGTTATAATCACCGTTTACCCGCACTTGAACGATTTTACCGGTAAACTGAATTTTCACTTTTAAAGTCGGATCATTTAACTTGGAATCTCATTACTAAGCTATGCACATTACCCTAGGTCTCTCGAGTTCCCAAAACAAAATTTGAGGCAAAACGGTCCAGGTTTTCCAGAGTTATGATCGGAATAACAAACAAACAAACAAACAAACAATCACCCAAACAGAGATTACAACTTTATATATATGATGATCTTTAAGGTACTAGAACTTTCATCACAGCTCTAATTAAGGGAGAAACTACTTGGCACTTTTTGATTTTGAGAAGAGGGGGCCTGTGGGCGACTATCACTTATGTTTACCATAACTGATATATGCATTTTTTTAAATCTGTGCATTTATTTTTTTTTAGGACCTGTTGTCATCGATGGTCCAGTTATGTCCATTAGTGATACTGATATTTGTAAAGTTTTAATTAAAGATAAACGAGTATTCGAAATAAACAATTAGACATTATTTAGATAAAAGGATTGATTACTTATTCCTCCAAGAAAGAGAGAAAGGTTGTTTTCTAGGATTCGTGGGCGATGATCCACTAATGCTCATTAGAGATACTGATATTTCTATTTTAAAGATAGATTAGTGCGCAGTTTTGGAGATAAAAATAGGACACAATATTCCTTCCTCCTTGTTTTGTAGAAAATGATAGAGGGATTAAAATCTCAGGACTTGGTCACCGATTTCAGGGATTTTTTGGGGAACACAATTTTGAGACTTAGTTTACTGAAATTTTCCGAAAAATGCTCCTGAATTTTCCCTCATGAAATTCTAAAATTTTTTGGAAATACTCTTCGGAAATTTCTGAAAAATCAAACCTCTGATAATTTAATTAAATTTAAAACTGATCATTCAGATATTACAATTAATAAATTCTGGATTTGTTTAGGATCATTACAATGCAGTTAATATTTAAATATTTTTCACAAATTTCAAAGTACATTTTGTGTCGAAACCCTGTTTTTATGACCAGCTCTTGATTTTTTTGTAAATAAAATCGATAATGTAAACAATAAGACAAATTGTCGAATTGAATTAAGATGGGTATCAAAACACTGAAGAATCACTGAGTTCATAAAAATACTTAGAAAAATTAATAAGTTACAGTCAGAACCAGAAAACGGTGAAATAGGAAGACGACATTATAGACATTATAGCAATTATGAAGTGCATTTGATGATGTTTAAAGCAAATCGCTTTACTTAAAAGTTATTAAATTACTTATTAAGGAAAATGGGTCTGTTTACATTGCACAATTGCTATGCCCTATGTTCAATGCACTATTAAAAGTAATAACTTGAGTTTAAAAGTCGATTTCCTATTCCAGAGTTTTCTGGTTATCACGGTATAAACAAAAAAAACCGGGGTTCAAAAGAATATATCAAAATATCAAAAAAATTTGTTTTGATAAAATTAGCAAGAAGAAAAAGCAAAATTTCATCAGATCAGTATTTTCATCCTATTTGTATTTTTGGTGTTTGTTAATTTGATTTTTCTTTTACTTTTACTAAATCTATTACTTAGGGACCCCCGGTATGTACAGGAAAATTGAACCTTGACTTAATTATCTTGCTCTGAGCCCGTATCTTGCCCAAGGGCGTATACAGAAATAATTTTTTGCCCCACCCCCCAGTAGCTCCTAGGGGGGGGGGGGCAAATTTGATCTGAAAATTCAAAACATTTGGCTTCTTGGATATCAAGCATAAGTTATATAAGATACTTTAAAGGTATACACATAAAGTCCAATTTCCTTGCATGTACTATACTTTATCTCTCCTTCAAACAAAACTAGCAGAAAAAAAACACTGTTTCTAAAAGATCGACTTCATCATTTATACTATTAATAATTAGTATTTAAACTAGAAATAGTAAAAGACAAAGGTCCAGAAAATAATTATGACTTGTTAAAGTTTCTGTTTTGAAAAAAGGGAGGTGTACAATTGTAATCTATGTCATAAAGCTCTTCGTCCATTTATATGTTTGCTATGGCTGGCCGAACGGCTGAATCAATTTTTGTTTTAATTCAATTTTTAAAATTCCACGGGCAACGCGCCAGGCACTTCAGCTAGTTTGTAATAAAAAGAAAGATTACAAAACAGCGGTGCAATGAATAAAATAAATTAAATCCAAATAAAAAAACAAAAAATGGTCTTTTACTACCTCCAAACTCAAGCCAAGCCAAACATTATGATGAATGTGCATTCTAAATAGATTTTTCATTCGGACTTCTGTCATGGTAGCTCTGGTCCACTAATACAATCTTCTTAGTGCACTGAATGAACAGCAAACTATTTTTTTTATGTTTTTCACTCTTGAGTTTAAGAATTGGAAAAGTGTAAAAGCTTCGAGTTTTAGTGGGGGGGCGCTTCCCCCTTTGCCCCCCCCTGTATACGCCCTTGATCTTGCCACCTTAACGGGCATATTTAAGACGTACTTTGTATATCTCCGTACACTAAAGTGTTTGTCCGCAAGATGTCGTCCAAGTATAGGTGTCAGCACATAATCTAATTTTACTGTGCTTTCTGTTTATTTTCGCGGAGAGGGGTTGTGTTTCACCGTGAGTAAGTGAAGACGTCATATGTTTGTTAAGAGTACGGATGGCAAGATACTGGCTCTGACTTATTCTTATAATGTTTATAGCAAAATAGTCTACACTTTGTGTACTGCAGAGCCTAACCACTTTTAAATACACGTGTATTTATATGCATATATTTTCTTATTAAAGTCTATGCATCCCGAGCTGGGAACTTTTGAATGTTGGATATCGGGATTAATGCTTAATCGACTCTTTTTCTTAATCTCGAGATTAAATAACGCTTGTTCTCCTCTTGTTATTTATCTTGCAGATTAATTAAGCGGTCGGGATTAAAGATATCTCATTCTAAAGTTTTTAGCTCTGTGCAGCCGTATATATTCTTAATTGTATGTATTTTCTTTTATGAGTCTCTGCCTCTATGCTATACATGTATCCAATGCAGCCGTATATATACTTAATTGTATGAATTTTCGTATATGAGTCTCTGCCTTTATGCTATTCATGCATCCTATGCAGCTGATATATACAATTAATTGTATGTATTTTCTTATATGAGTCTCTGCCTCTATGCTATACATGCATCCTATAGCAGCCGTATAAACTTAGACATATTTTCTAATATGAGTCTGTGTTATGCATGCATTCTCAGAAGCTCTATATATTTTCTTATATGAATCTATGCTATGCATGCATCTTATGGCGCTGCATATAAATTAGTATAAATTTTCTTATACAAGAGTATGCTATGCATGCATCCTATGCCGCCATAACTGAAGTTTCGTATATTTTCTTATATGAGCCTATGCATCTATGATAGATGAGTATGCTAGCATATGCCTTCTAAGCAGCCATAAACAAACTTTCTTTTCTTTTATATTTTCTTATATAAGTCTATGCAATATGCATCCTATGCAGCCTTATATTAAAAGTTTATAAATTCTTATATTAATATTCTCTTCATAAACCTATGAATTCTTCAATCTACATGTATATGCTATTTATATATATGTCTCATAACATAAACAATTGGATATATCATGCTCATAAAACTATGCAACTATTCATCCCTATGAATTTGAAAAAAGATGATATTCTTCCTATGGTCTCATATTAGACCTATAATGTTTTGACAAAAAAAAATCAATAAAAATTCAAAAAAAAATTTTCCTTAGGATTGAACAATGGAGGAATACTGGAACTGCAGAAACTATACAGTAGAGAGTAAGCTTGGTGAATATCCAGGAGTTTTCCTCATTCTGACAATCCTCTTGATCATCAGTAGTTTCCTCTTCTGGGTTCTTCGCTGCTTCTTCAACAGTATTGAAGATCACAGGATGAACATCAACATCTTTCTCAACAAGCGGATAACAGAGTTACTGATATGTCACATCTACATATGGGTAAAGGATTTAAACGTTAAAGCAAAGTTAATGACATTTAATTCAACTGAACAATCCATATACATTTACTTTTTTGATTTTTTTTTCTTTTAAAATGCATTGTAAGAGCCAACGTATACACATTGTTATGAATTGCAGTTTTTTGGTGCTTTTTCAATTCAAATATCAAAATTCATTTTGTTTTTGATTGCCAATAAAATAAACCGGATCAGATTCTGCTTTAAGACAATTAAAATTATCTTCATGAAATTACAGAATTATATGTTATTCTTATTTAAAAGATATTAAAATGATAATAATTTAAGAGCCTAATGATAATGTGGAGCAGTATCCTGGGACCCTTACCTCTAATAGTCTGCAAAACCATCAGATATTCTGCAATTGTGTGTTCTAGCCTCACTGGTGATCTCTTCCTGTGCGTTTCAACATTCAGACTCATCTTGATTTACAAGGTTTTAGTTTTAATATCCTCTAATTATTTATATTTTCAGCCAAAAGCTTTAGTTGGCAGAGGGTGGGGATGCAGAGCTGGCATGAGCACCTCAAAATAACCTTTGGAGTCTCCAGATTCGCACAATTGCCTCCGCAACTCTAACTCCACATCCAGCATTCTTATCTCCAATAATAACATATATTTAGCTTTTACATCCACCATAAAACCTTTTTTTTTTGAAAATCTCAACATGACCAAAAAAACACAAACAATTTGTCTTAAAAAGCCCACTTTAATTGAGACTAAATCTTCTTTTATTTTGTTTTTCTAAATTTCACCAATTCTTAAACTTGTGCGAAACAATTGCAGCTTTATATAGAAAACTGTAAAGATGTGTCTATAATGTCTCTGCAAGATGAACAGTGAATACGGACAAGTTCACTCTGTTTGTATACTGTAATTTTCTTGTTTTACTAAGTACAACCGGTTGCAGTCAAAACATAAACAAACAAAATGTAAACATAGCAGACGAAACTCTTACAGATTACAGCTTTCTCAGTAGGTATCACTATACAAAATCGAAGAATTATTTGAAAAGACGATATCGAATTCGTCACTGAATTCCCATGTTTTTTGGGACACCCTGTATATAAGCACCAATTCACAAAACATAATAGTTTTTGTGAAATATTTAAATTTGTGCTTATTGTGTTTTATTATTTTTTGATCTTGTTGAGATTCATTGAAAAAAAATGTTTTTGGTGGATGTAAACGCTAAATATATGTTATTGGAGACAAGAATGTTGGACGTGGAGTAAGAATTGCGGGGGCTTAGAGACCTTGCCTGAGGCACTGGGATGATTTTGATTAGCTAGGAGGTAGTTCTGTGAATCTAGAGGCTCCAGAGGTTGTTTTCAGAACTCATGATGACTATGCACCTCCCTCGTTGATGGGCGATATGAATTGTAATTGTTAATCTAAAATCATGTAGATGAATTGACATAATATCTTATAGTGAAAAATTATTTTTTCATATTTGATTTCAATTTTATTGTTTAGAATGATTGGATCATGGAGTTTGATCAGGAGAAAATGGCAAGGAACTGCTACTACTGTTCCCTTCCATTGGCAATTCTAACTTATCTTGGATTTCTGGTGGTAGACATCAAACGCGGTAACTAGAAATATTTGTGAACTAAAGTCTGGTCTTGCTTTGTTTTAAAAGCCATCTGGAATTACACTCTTTTTAGTTCTGATCTGACTCAGCATTCAAGTATTTCAGTACTCAGCTTTCTCAACCCTTTAACTTAAATAGCAAAAAATGCTTGAGATATAGGCATCCCTTACTCAATCATTGGTAAAGGTCTGGGATCCACTGATTCTGTCTGTAGCATAACTTGGGTTGATATGTGTCTATATTTCTAGTGAAAGCATTTTGGATTGATAGGATAAGTTGTCTTTTTTTCAGGGACTGTTCATGCATCTGAATCATTTGCAAGTAGATGTCCCCCTACAGAAGAACAGGACTATGTCACACTAGGAAATATCATCATGGGCATCACATACCTTACTGTCTTTATAAGTTCTAACATCATCCTGACATTTATGTTCCGAAATGCAGATGAGAACTTATTTCAGAATTTCCGTGTTAAAACCGTGACAATTGGGATTACCTTTGTTGCAGGTTTTGTTGGTATTGTAGGAATGTTTCAGTTCCTACCAATTTATGATTTTGATGTGAAATCAACCTTTTTTATAATTATTGTGGACCTTGCTGCCTTAGCATTGTACATAATCAAAGAAAATGAGTTCACATACATTTTCATTCTAAACCTTTCTCTATGGAATAGATGCAGAAATCCAAATGGTGTTGGTCCCTTGCCTCTGCCAGCATACCCCTTGCAGGAGCTGAATCCTAGAGCACTAGGACACAATGTTTCTGGTCAGAACTGCAGGATCATTGATCTGGAAGATGATGGAGGAATCTTTGTGGGGTAAACTGTACAGGAGCTAAATCCTAGATCCCCACAGAGCTGAGCCAGACTTCCTGCCAGGACTGCCAGATCATTGATCTAGAGGACAAAGGAGGAATCTTTATGGGCTAAACTGTACAGGAGCTAAATCCTAGATCACCACAGAGCCAGACTTCCTGCCAGGACTGCTAGATCATTGATATAGAGAACAATGGAGGAATCTTTATGGAAGCTTAATCTTAGAGTGCTATAGAGCAAAGCTTCTGGCTGGAAATGCAAGATAATTGTTCTAGATGACAACTTGATAGAGGAATCTTTATGAGGTGAACCATACAGGAGCTAAATCCTAGAGAGCAAGGCTTCTGGTCAGAATTGCTGGATCATTGATCTGGAGGACAAAAGAGGAACCTTTATGGGGTGGACCTTGCAGGAACTGAATCCTTAAGAACTAGGGAGCACAAATTCTTCTTTACATGGCAGATTGATCTAAAGAATCCTTCTGAGAGGCGAACCTTTCGATAGCTAAATACTAGAGCACTAGGAGGTGTTATTATAGAGCAATGCTTCTTGCTGGAAATGCAGGATCAAAGGACGAAGGAATCTATATGAGTTGAATCGTACAAAAGCTGAATCCTAGATCACTGGAGGGCAAGGATTCTGGCCAGGACTTCTGAATTATTGATCTAGAGGATGATGGTTGAATCTTTATTGAGGTCTTAAAGTCCAGCTAAATCCTAGAGAACAAGAGAGCAAAAATTCTTGATAGCATGGCAGGCCGGATCATTGATCTACAATACTTCTAGAACATTCAGGAAAATTCAGGAATTAATCATCATGGGGTCGTACCTCAATAAACTGAAGAATTCTTGAACAATGGAAAACACTAAAGCTAAAAACTATATATAGAACTTGAGAATCATTGATCTAATTGGTTTTTACCTGGATCTTGGATATAATGGTTACAGGCTAGAGGGTAATTTTGTAAATATGTTTTTCTAAAAGCATTAGCTAAATTATATTCTGATTGACGTTGTTGACATAATTTCCATCTATTATCTCTGAATAATAACAAATATAGATTATTCAGGCATTTAGAGCGCTTCGCGCCCATCTTCTATTTCAACTTTCAACTGTGGCTTTATCTGTGAGCATCTTCTCTTTGTACATTATAAAACAAAAACAAATAAGTTTGCGTATTCCATTATATTTTTTCGCGCATTTTCAAAATTTTTGCAAAAATAAAGAAATTTTAAACACACATTTTTTAATTTAGATCATTCATAAACCATACCTGGGGTCACGTGAGATCCCACAAAATATGTTGGCCCGATTGGTTAAGCCGTTTAGACGTTTATTGGATACAAACAAACACCCAGACAGACAGTCTAAATTTATATATAGATGTTTAGAAACATTTCATTATATTCATTAGGGTTTCATGAAGAATTAACCAAATCTGCATTACTTTAGATATAAGTTATAATTTTCCTTACTAGTTACAACAAAATTTCCCCTAGGCCTTAGCCCAATATTAGAATTACGAGTGTAATTTGTAAGACATTTTCGGATACAGGTATTGACTGACTGCAGACTACTGATAATGTTTAATTTTTAACTGTGGAATTTCTCAACCACTTCTGAGGATTTCTAAAAAAATATATTTTGACCAATGATCTGGTTCAGGGACGTTTATGGAGGAAAAGGTCTTAGGTTTGTAAGGCAATATTTGTGTAGAAAACATTTTGTGGTCGAAAACATTGTGTGGTAGAAAGCGTTGTGTGGTAGAGCATTGTGTGCTTGGAAATTATGTGTGGTAGAAAGCATTGTGTGAAAGAAAAATAAGATTCCTAAATATATATATGGCCTTCCATGACAAAGAAATGAAAGATTTTTAAGAAATGTTTGCGCAAGTTAATATTTTTTAGTGTAAAGTAATAAATTGGTATTTTTCATTCCTTGTCAATAACTTGATAATTGGTTAAAACTAATCTAAATGAATCTTTCTAGAGAAAAACATCGCAAGGACTTTAACAAGACTTTTAATCAAAATTATGAATAAAATTAATTCCATTGCCCAACCAATTCTATTATGATACAAGAAATATTCTTTAACGATTTCTTATCTATAAGAAATAACAAGATTCCTATATTTGTATGCATATAAAGTAGTAATCTATGTTTATTTGTTGCATATCCATCGTACAAAGTAAAAAAAGGTAAGCTTCATTTAATATAGTTTTCTAAAAATAAACTAAATAATATGCAATGATAATTGACATACATGTTTTCTTTTAAAATAAACATAATATGTAATGTTATGTATGTATGTAAGGGTGTATGTATGTGTTAATTCACATTCAAGATGTTGCTCTTTTTTATTTAAAATAAATTCAATTTTATTGCTCATTGTTTACATATAATTCATTGCTAAGAACCAAGCAAACTCTTTCATATTTAAGTTTGCTAAAGTCTACTTTGAGATATTTTAAACCATTTTATGTTACACAATTTATTTCTAAGTTTGCTAAAGTCTACATGTAATTTATTGTATTTGTTGCAGTTTTTAACAATAAATGTTTAAAACTTACTGAATTTTGATAAAAATGTTAGTAAACTGGTGTTGGTGTACAATCCAGCTAACTGCGCGATAACTGGATATTTTAAAACTAGTACAGGGTGTCCCAATAAACATGGGAATTCAGTGACGAGTTCGATATCGTCTTTTCAAATAATTCTTTGATTTAGCATAGTGATACCTACTGAGAAAGCTGTAATCTGTAAGAGTTTAGTCTGCTATGTTCACATTTTGTTTGTTTATGTTTTGACTGCATACGGTTGTACTTAGTAAAACAAGAAAATTGCAGTACACTAACAGTGTAAACTTGTCCGTCATCACTGTTCATCTTGCGGAGACATTATAGACACATCTTTACAACCATTTACCGTTTTCATAAAATAAACTCTAGCAGATATAATAGTATTATGGCTTTTGAAATTAGGTATTACAATGCTAATTCATAGCAAAGACGATATCCAATTCGTCACTGAATTCCCATGTTTTTGGGACACCCTGTATATTTGGTCAAACTAAGTCACACTTAAATTATTTTGTGGATTGGAAATATTTCTTCATTTATCTTTTAAATTATAGAGACCATGATTAATTTGTTACAATTATTAATTAAAATATGCTCTAACATAATTAAGTTTGTTGCCAAGAGCTGGGAACTTTTGAATGGTGGATATCGGGATTAATGCTTGATCCACTCTTTTCTCTCTCTTGTTCTATTGTTATTAATCTCCAGATTAATGAACCGATGATCAGGATTTAGGATATCCCATTCTAAAGTTATCAGCTCTGAATAGATAACAAGGATTTAATTCACGTTTCGTTGTTTTAAGTTTAAATTAAGTTTTATCGTTTTTTATCTTAATTTCTCTTTTACACCATTGAAAGGACTGAAGAGGTCATTTTATTTAACATTTGGTGACACATACCTCAGTATGAGATTTTCCAGCTGAAAATTGATTATTTTCCGTCGGGGTTTCCTAATTCAAATTTCATGAAGACTATATCTTCCGCATTGAAGATTTTTATAGATTAAATCTAAAGTTCTTTTATTTCAGGGTGGGGAAAAAACTGGGTTTTTAAAATAAAACCAGTCCTGGGTTTTCAATTTGAAAGTAGTTGAACCATACAAAAGTTATACAATTTCATAATAATATGACTATTTAAGCAATTAATAATATTGTTGTGATAATATGCAATAATCTTATTTAATTACTCTTCAAATAAAATGATATCTCTTCTCTTCGGCCTTCTGAATAGGTGGAATCTTTCAATTTTTTTATATTTTAGTTTGAAGAATTTCAGACAACTTTTTTTTAGTTGGATAAATATTTCTGATTGGGAGTGGGGTTACTCAGAAGACCACTGTTAAATACCGAAAAACTTTAGCTCGAATGAATTTTTTATCCTTATCCTATAGCAACATATTTTAAAAACTCTTAAGAAAAGAATAAATGTGTCAGTTTTAGTTCTGTAAACTCCCCAAAAATCAATACTGTTGATAATAGTCCTTTTTTTTGAAGAGTTTATCACTTATGAGTGAATAAGGCAAGAACTTGAATAATTCTAAAAAACGAATAAAACCCAAAAAAGTCCACCTTCAGGTGGGGTTTGTTGGTTTTTTGGGGTTTTTCATGCCAACACTGCTTTATTTAAAATTCTAACTAATAGTATGTTTAAAATATCAAGTAAACTTTATTGATCATTATATGAAAATATAATCTTTATATTCTTAAAATATTATTATAAAATTCATAGAAAAAAATATAGATTTAAATGCACTAATTACAAGATTTTCAGAAGTCTATTGCAGGAAATAAAAAAAAGTAGGATGAAAATGATAACCTTTAATTTGTCTTTAGAGACAATTTTCAAGATCTAATATATTTTGTCCCCAAAAGGCTGAACAAATAAGTCCAGAAAAATATAAATATAAAATGTAAATATATATATATATATTATTTGTATATGAGAAATATGTTAAGGAAATATAACCATAATAATTGTAAAAAATGTATATTTTAAATATCTAATTGAAAAAAATAAATTGTTTAAATTTTCCATGTTGAATCGGATCTTTTTTGCTTTTGTCAAAATAATTTAATTATAATTTAGTACTTTTTAAATTTTTAGAGCATTAAATGTTATTAAGTTTATCTTTCTATAATTTGTAGAATAATACTTTTAGATCAGATCTAGTATTTTTAAATCATTTTCTGTCAATCATAATTATTGATCACATTATTGCAATTGATTAATCAATCCCTTATCACAGAAGATAATTCCTTATCCGGTCTAAATAATCCATATCCGGTCAGATCTGCCAAGTGTTTTAGATCAGAATCCTTGCCGGCGGCTGATATAATCCATATCCGGTTTAATAAATCTATATCCGGGAGAAAACGGACGGAAAGGTTTTATTTCTAGGTTGAAGATTCAGTTCCTGAAAAAAAAGAATTGATGAAATTTCTGACAAACAGTTTAACCCTATTCCTGCTGGGGGGGGGGGTCAATTTGACCCCCCCCTGTAGTTTTTTTTACATAACTCAAAAAGTATTGGTCTGAGGCTGTTGAAATTTTCTGACTTTTCTTACATACCCAAAGCCTTCCCTTTAGGCCTAAAACCGGGCTTTAATACTAACTGCCTGAGTCCTCNAGAGTATCTGGAAGTATGTATACTACCTGTATATTATTAATAAGAGTATCTGGAAGTATGTATACTACCTGTATATTATTAATAAGAGTATCTGGAGAAAGTGTATCTGGAAGCTTTGAAAGAAACTGAGCTATCACAGTGAAATCATTCTCTGCCAGTATACGATCCTAAACATTAACTAAATGTAAAACAATTGCTCTCAGATTTGTGCATCAATTTTTAACAATCTTATTGTATCACGTAGTCCAGACTCTACTAACACCTGGCAAAGAGAATCTCAGAAATAAGAAGACGACATTTTAAACAAAGTAAAGAGAAATGTCGTCTTCTAATTTAGATTGCCGAATGTGTTTGTTAAGTCTGGATGACATGTCTGACGAGGAAATTTTCAAAATTTAATACTTTTTGATGTAGGAAAACAACTTTATTTTCCTTATTGTTAATTAGATAAGGGTTTTAAGGCTATCGATGCTTGCCGACATCCAACTCCAAAATGAGATCACTTGAAATTGTGGAGTCAGTCTCTTTAATATGTTCATGAAAGGAACTGGACCAACTGGAAACTTTAGTGAACAAATATTTTCTTAAATCTTTTTTTTTTACAAATATTAACTTTCTTTAATTCCCTGTATTCCAGTTAGGCATTAGCTAATAGCACATCTCTTTTTCCTAAGAAAAAAAAAACCAAAAGGGAAAGATGACAATGGTCTTGATAATATGAATGATATCTATAAAATAAAGCTTTCAGCTCATATATGTGTATAAAAATATATTTTTTTTATATATATGTAAGCTATAGCTGACCAAACGGCTAGAACAAAATGCTGAAATTTTATTATGAGACTTATGGGTACCCTGGAAGAAACATACAATAAAATAATTCCATTTTTCCCTACATTCAATTTCTTTTTTGAAGTTCGATTTTTAAAAAATTCACGGGCAACGTCGGGCACTTCAGCTAGTAATTAATATTACTGTTACTGAGTGAAGTAAATTTAATTGAAAAACTCTCCCCGAGCCCGCATCCGCTTAAAAAGTTATTTTAATTCAAGACAAATTATTCTAAATTTTGTCTTTTGCTGTATTTGATCATTTTTAATTTTTCTACAGTTTTGAAAACTGGGAATGATAATGTTAATGTGAGACTAGAGATAAACAAATTCAAGAGGAATTTAAAAATAAAAGTATTTAAAACAAAAATAAAAAAAATAATGTTTTCAATTAGTAATTTTAGGAACACAACCTTTTGATTATCAAAAAAAAAACGTTAAAATATTTAAGAGAAATTCAAAAATAACAGTATTTAATATCTAAAAACATTTATAAAAAAACTACTCTATTTCTTTAAGTACTTTTAGGAATACAATATTTTAATTGTCATTTATTCTGCGCAATAATTACTACGTAAAACAAGCTTTTATAGCGTTGAATAAATATTAGAAGAAAACGCCTACTTGAATAATTCAAGAAGAAAACGCCTACATGAATAATTTAAGAAGAAAACGCATACTTGAATAATTTAAGAAGAAATCGCCTACTTGAATAATTTAAGAAGAAAACGCCTATTTGAATAATATAGGAAGAAAACGCCTACTCGAATAATTTAAGAAGAAAACGCCTACTTGAATAATTTAAGAAGAAAACGCCTACTTGAATAATTTAAGAAGAATACGCTACTTTAATAATATAAGAAGAATACGCCTACTTAAATAATATAAGAAGAATACGCCAATCTGAATTGTTTTAGAAGAATACGCCTACTTTCATAATATAAAAAGAACCTTTTTAATAATTGAAGAAGAATATGCCTACTTTAATAATATAAGAAGACCCTATTTTAATAATTTAAAAAGAATACGCCTATTTTAATAATAAAAGAAGAATACTCATATTTTAATTATTTTAGAAGAATACGCCTACTTTAATAATATAAGAAGAATACGCATATTTTTATCATTTTAGAAGAATACGCCTACTTTCATAACTTAAGAAAACTACGCATACTTCAATAATTTAAACATTTCGAATGGATTATCCGTTTGATTCACCCAATGACAAAATTTATATTAATCTGGTAATATTAATGATAATAAAAACAATAGTGAAGCTTCCATTTGCCAATAAGTTGCTGTTATTTTTTATTAAATACTATATCTCCCCTTTGTAGCCACTGTAGTCCATTTTCAATGACTAATATTATAATGTATCACCTTAAATAGTTTTTCGTTATTCTCTGAGTAGTCCCATAAGATAATTATTAGTCCTAAGTCCCCATATTCCCCCCTGCCCCTAATGTGCATGTTGCCACTTGGTCCCCTTCCAAAGGGTTGCAAGAATATTTTTCCCTTCGCCTGTATCGCATCTGTATATATTTACAATTAACTGGTAGAGGGAGGGAAGAGGGTGACTATATATTTAAAGTTGTAATCTCTGTTTGTCTGTTTGTTTGTTTTTCCGTTTACAACTTAGGAACCCCTGGACCGATTTTCCTCAAATTTTAATTGGGGAACTTGAATGGCCCACGGGAATGTTCTTAGCTTGGTTTTAAGATTTAAGTTGAGTGGGTCGACTCAGTTAAAATCCCGGTAAAATCGATAAAGTGCGGGTAAACGGCGGAAGTAACTTGAAGTAACCTTGGCAGCACTGGGTTTCCAAGGTAGTTATGAAATGAACTCAAAGATATATGAAACTACGCAGATTTGACAGGAAATGCGTCATAGGATGTCATGCTACTGTGTACATTGTGTACAACAAGTTAATGTTCTAAAAAACTCATAGATATATGAAACTACGCAGATTTGACAGGAAATACGTCATAGGATGTCATGCTACTGTGTACATTGTGTACATAGGATGTCATGCTACTGTGTACATTGTGTACATTGTGTACATAGGATGTCATGCTACTGTGTACATTGTGTACAACAAGTTAGATGCACTAAAAAACCTCCAAAGCTTTAGCTACAAAAAAGTGTACTGCAGTTACTGGAAAAAATGTAAATATATTCAGTGCTATTCAGTCAAAGTTTACAGATGTATAATGAAGACACTTAGATTTAGAAAAATGCTTCGACTCGAAAAAATTTGACATAAAGTTTTGTTGTATTTTGAAGCTTTTGTAACGATACTTATTGCGCAGAAAAAAAAATTATAATTTTTTCCCGAAAGAACTAATGGGATTGGTTAGTGTTTAATGTTTTGTGATTTAAATATGGTTATACTCTTTCTGAACAAACAAAAGATATTGTGATATGTTTGGTGTATATTCAGTAGTACTTTACAATGTACATCGTTGTGTACAATGTACACTTTGCAGTACACCTGACTATACCTGGAATGTGTAGAGAATTCCAAGTGCTGCTTTAAAAATGAAATCTTGACCATCTCGGAACATTAAATCCCAAATCCTAAAAGAAATAAAATTGCAAGATTAAAAACTTTGTACTTTCCAGTTTCTGTTAAGAACTTTGAATTGAGAACTTTGAAGAAATGTGTCTACGTCAGAAAACAAATATCACATTAAAATTTGATATTTACGCTAAACAAACATGTTTGTCTCAATTATTTTTTCGTATTTTGATTGGCATATAGATTCCAGATAGAAATAACAATAACATAGCAATCAGGTATTTTCAATTTATTTTGATGTTTTATTGATATGTTAAACAATAAATCAATAAATCAATAAATCAATAAATCAATAAATCAATATAGCGCCAATTTTCTGTATTTTATCGATTCAATTTAATAATTGTGTTCTTTTAGTTTAATTGTGTGGAATATATTAGTCTCTGCTTAAACTGCAATGTCTTCAAACTTGCTTGATAACGTATTTTATTCTAATTGTGTGGAATATATTAGTCTCTGCTTCAACTGCAATGTCTTTAAACTTGCTTACTAATGTATTTTATTCTAATTGTGTTCTTTTAGTTTAATTGTGTGGAATGTACTAGTCTCTGCTTCAACTCCAATGTCTTTAAACTTGCTTGCTAATGTATTTTATTCTAATTGTGTTCTTTTAGTTTAATTGTGTGGAATATACTAGTCTCTACGTCAACTCCAATGTCTTTAAACTTGCTTACTAATGTATTTTATTCTAATTGTGTTCTTTTAGTTTAATTGTGTGGAATATACTAGTCTCTACGTCAACTCCAATGTCTTTAAACTTGCTTACTAATGTATTTTATTCTGATTGAGTTCTTTTAGTTTAATTGTGTGCAATATATTACTGGTCTCTTCTTCTACTTTCTTCAGTGTTTCAAGTTATTTTGACTTTTAAAGTTTAAAATTTGTTCATCACAGTTTTATGAGTCCCACTGTACGATTAGTATAATGTGTGTCGACTGTTGTAATATTTTCTTTATTTTTGAATTTGAAGCATTTTGTTTGATCTTATTTATCTCTACCTGAAGTGCCCGGCGTTACCCGTAAATTTGAATAAAATTAAGTTTTAAAAATCAAACTCTTATTTCTTTTAGCCTATGTTACCCTCGGGATACCCTAAGGTTCATACAAAAAAAGTCAGCCAATTTGGTCTCGCCGTTTCGCCAGCTTTGGCTAACATATAAATAAATTTACATTAACGAGAGAAATTCTTTATTATATAGATTAAACTTTAAAAATTATTTTCGCTACCTGCATGCAAGATCTAACGGGGCTGACCGTCCATAGAGGGTCATAATCCAGTCTAACAGGTACATGTCAGGTTGTAATCCCACCTTCTCTAGGTGCTCTGATACCTTTACATTAGCATTTATCTATCTATATTCTTTACTTGTCCGTATAGTTTTTTGTTTGAAACCCATTAAAGTCAAAACGGCTGAACCGATCGTGCCCAAATTTAATTGTGGACCTTACATATCTTCAAGGAAGATTTCAGAATTACAAAAAATTAAATCGTAAAATTTTGAGAATTCACAAAAAAGTTGCAATTCCGCAAATTTTCTTATAATTTTTTTTTATCGCAGAGAAAATGCTAAAAAATTGGGCAACTAAAGAATTCAGCTGGTCTAATAAAACCTGGCGGCCAGTCATGAAAATATTTTTTAAATGTATAATATTTATAAGAGTAATTTTTATTCCGGCCGCTACTCGTAATTTGGCGCTAACAGTCCGAATGTGACAAACTTCTTTTGTTGGTCTATACCCTTAATAAAGTTCCTCATTCTGTCCGCAGTAATTAGAAGTCAATAAGGGACTGATAAACATAACTAAAATACAACAAAGAAGCAGTAAGCAAAGAGTTCATCTTATTTTCAATCAAACTATATTGGTAGACCTGACCCCTTACACCATTTTAAGGATCATTTCATTGGAAAGGTAGTTTCAAATAAGTCTTTATTTATAGAGTGTCAATCAATCAATCAATTTATCAATCAATCAATCTAATCCCATCATATATGAATTACTGACCTCTGGAAGATGATTACTGAGAAGCTGAGAAAAACTAGAATAATATCCTTCCATCTAAACAAATAATAAAACTATAACATATTTCAAAATATTTAATTGAATCATAATTACAAAGCAGAAGGTGTCGCAAATTAAAATAAAGGTTGAAAATATGATAATAAAAAGTTATTCGCTAAAAAACATTCATAATTTGTTGAAAAAAAATGATTCTCTGAAAAAATTTAGAACTAGATAGACTGTTTATTTACCAATAAACAAGTTCTTGATTTTTCATTGGTTGGTCAATCCAATAATAAACTTAGTTCTTGCTTTACAATTGGTTGGTCATGCTTTACCATCGATCAAAAAACAAACAAGTTCTATCCTTACGATTGGTTTGTCAACTAAATAAAATAACAGGTTTTTGTCTTAATAATGATAGGAAAATTTACTAAAAATCAAGTTGATCAATTTAATAAAAAAAGTTCTTGGCTTACCATTGGTTGGTCAATTTACTAAAAACAAGTTATTGCCTTACCATTGATTGGTCAAATAAAGAAAACAAGTTCTTGCCTTACCATTGGTCGGTTAATTTACTAAAAAAACAAATTCTTACTTTACCGTTGATTGGACAAATTTATAAAAAACAAGTTCTTGGCCTACTATAGGTTGGCCAATCTACTAAAAAAATAACAGGTTCTTGCCTTCTCATAGGTTGGTCAGTTTACTAACAATCCAGTTCTTGGCTTTTATGGTTTGTTTCTTGGTTTGTTTATTGACTTGCCATTGGTTGTTGTTTTCTGGCTTACCATTGGTTGATCCATTGTGAAGAAAGAGGACAGGGGAGGTCGGTTTACGAGGTTAGCGAAGAGGATAAAAGCGTCCTCCTCCTCCAGGTTCAAGATCAGGATTGCCGCAATAAAAGACATTCCCTAAACATTTGCCTTTTACTATCTTGACTTTAAAAAGAGGGTCAAATTGAAGACGACAGTCGGCTCTTAACGAACACAATAATCATGTTTCTTCTGTAGGCGTTCGTAACTACAGTACCCAACATTTGAATTGGCCGGGGTCTCAAATAAATGATTGTAAAAAGATAAATTGTAATGATGCTTTTTTAAAATACATAAATACAACAGGAATAGTATCTACTCTAGCCAGTAGCCATCCCTCTATTTGTCCTAATATCCTCCAGGATCCTCCTAGGCATGCTCTAGGTCCTCTAGGCCAGGGTTATCAGGTCGGGTACCATCACCTGAATTTTGTTGGCAAATAAGCCAAACACTTCACACGTTTTACTCTCGAAGAATTAATTATTACCTGATAATAATGAAGTTGATTGTCAGGTTACAAAATTATTGGATTTGGTCAATCCTGCTCTGAATGACGGCTCTTCATTTATCTTTATTTATCCTCGTGTCTTTCTTAAAAACCAGCCATTGACTTAATCCTTTTTGATCTGGTTTTACTATAAAAAATATTATCAGAGAAGGTACAGAAAATTCAAAATACATTTCAGAAAGCTGTCAATCTTAGCTTTCGTCAGTCGTCAAAAACACTTTCAACTATGAGTGCAGTGGCGTCAAGAGACCATCATATACCGGCCAATTCAAATGTCGGCTGCTGTATCATATCTAATAACGTTTTAAAGTTTTTAATTCAAAAAAACTTCTTTTAGAAGGACAGTAAACCTGCATCGAAATTACTCTTAGTTAATTAAGAGACATCTCCGATTCACAAAGGTACTACTTAGACCTCAATCTTAGTAAAAAATCTTTTAAAGTGAGGAATTTTAACAATTTCCTTTATTGTCTTTGCAAAGAATAAATCAAGTCACTTTTAAAAAGAAACCACACTTGCAAATAATCAATTTTCATACTGTACAAATGTAAATAGGTCGGATTTGTTCAGCTTTACATAATGTACATTTTATACATCAATATTGAGTAAATATTAAAAAAACCGTCTCACTTTACCAGTTTCGACATTTTGTATATTTCATACATCAATATTGACTAAATATTAAAAAAAACCGTCTCACTTTACCAGTTTCGACATTTTGTACATTTCATACATCAATATTGAGTAAATATTAAAAAAACCCGACTCACTTTACCAGTTTCGACATTTTGTACATTTTATACATCAATATTGGTTACATATATACACCAGTTTAACTATACCTGTACATATCCTAGATCAGGCCTGTAGCAAACATAAGCTCCGAGTACATTGTGAAGTAAAGAATAGTAGGGACCACCCTAAACAAATATTAATTACAGAAGCCGGGATTTTTTAAAAAAAACCACCACCAACACAGTAGGACCGATCAATCTGTGGAATAGGTAGACTTCAGTTAAACTCAATTTATGATTTAAATAGTCAAAATAGTCAAACAAACATAAATAATAAATTATAGCGTAAAAAGATTCAATTCATTTAATAGAATTGATTCCACTGGGATTATTTGCTTCAAGGTTGTGTGATAGATACTCTGGATGCTCTCCAACGTAGGTAAAGACGACATTTATAGCGTTCTTTATATGACGTCACTGCTTATTTTAAAGAAAATTAAATTTTGCGGCTCACTAAGTATGAACAAACTAAAAATTGAATCCTTGAATTAGAATTGTATTTTTTTAGCTTCAAACTTGTTAGCACAATATATTTGCTAAATGTGGTGATTGTTATTATCAGTGACGTCATGTGAAGATTTAGAGTGTCCAATGCAAAAATACGACATTTACCTACACACAAATTAAAAAATCAAATTCACACAAGGTTGCTTAAGTGTGTTCTTATATTCTACATTTAAATGAGTCCCACTGTATATGAAAAAGGGTAGGATCAAATAAATATTACCTTTTGAAAAATGCAAAGTTGTGGAAAAGTTCTAGAAACATCCATAGATATGAGCTCCAGGGTTTCCTCACGACAAGGGGAGCTGGGCCAGGGTTTCCGTGATGGTGATTCCTCTGCCCGCCCCCCCTGCTTCTCCCAAAACTGTATTTGATCCCGAGCACGAGTAACAAGAATAGAGTAGAGCTGGGGAGTCAGGTTCAGCTAAAATAAATAAATGTTTATATTTGAAGAATCATCCTCCCCCCTCCAAATAAATAAATATTCAAGATTTCAGGGGAAATTAAATTAAAAAAATAAACTCCTCAAAAGTTTTTTTTTTAACAAAAAAAAGGTCAATTATTATTTATTCCCAAAAAAATGAACTCCAAATTTTCTTTAATACACTGCCATTCAATATTGTCGATGTAAAAAACAATAACATTAAAAATGTTCATCTCTTTGGACCCCCCCCCCCCCCGTGGGGTATTTTAGGGTTTCGGGAGGGGCATTGGAACTGGTTTTTGTCAAAATCTTAATTTTTAAATGCATACGCCTTGTGTTTAATAATAAAAATGGACAATTTAACTCAATCTTTTTACTCACAAACATTGTACCAATTGTACCTTGATTTGATATGATGATTTCAATTTACAATTACCTTTCCCGAGGTGGAATTTAAAGAATTTCAGCCGCCGTTTAAATCTGCCGAAACCCGGTTTAAATTAAGCGCCGGCTAAAATCTTTAAAAATTTGATACAATTTTAAGTGAAACTAACTTCATTTTGACGAGATTTTTTTTTTATTTTCATGAAAAATTTGCTGAAATGAGTGAAAATTTAAAAAAAACGGTGTATTTTCCAGGATAAAAATCCGTACAATCCGTACAATTTGAAAACAAATCCGTACAATCCGTACAATCCGTACAATCCGTACAATTTTAGGGTTTAAAAAAAATCAATCCGTACAATCCGTACAATCCGTACATTTTGGCCACCCTGCAATTTTAAGTGGAACCAACAATATTTAAGCCGCGGCTTAAATTTAAACCGCCGCTCTAATTCTTTAAATTCGGCCACCGTTCATATATATTTATTCATGAATGGTCAATGGATCCTGTAAATCTGCAATATTGCGTACACTTTAGAGGTCATAGTGTACAAAGGATACACTAGAAATATTAAGATTAGAAAAAGCGTATAAATATCAACAGTTTAAATTACAACGGATTAAAGAGGATTGGGGGCCAAAGTATTTGTATTTTCTCAGATTCGGGTTTAAAATACCCATTTTAAGGGTTTTCACGGAAATGACCGTTGTCCCCCCCCCCTTACAAACCGTCAAGTGCCGGGCCTGGATTTATACCTGATTGTCTAGAGCCAGTTTCCAAACTCTTCCCCTGACCGGGGGCGGTAACCCCTTCCACCAAAGGTTTTGGGTTCGCTTACTCTGCCAGCTTGTGCTCCAGTTGGGTAGAATCTGGGTTGTCCTAAACATATAAAATTAATCTAAGGATTAAAAGAAAATAAAATAAAAATAAACTAAGAAATTCTCAGCTGATTTTGACCAACAAGCCGGTTTATGTGTATCTAACCGGTCACAAAAATCCAGATAACATGAATTAGATTTTTAGAAACATTGTCAAAAGTATTTTTATAAACCATTCCCGTCTCGTTTAAATATATTATAAAAAAACAAATTCATTAACAATTTGAAACTAATGACGTGAATTACAGATTAAATCTTATCTTTCAATGAATAATTGCCTTAAAACTGTAAAATACAAAATTAAATAATGTATTAATTAATGACCAGATGCAAAACCCCTCAACCCTTTGTCTGACTCTAAGTGATTAGAGAACCTGGAGAATAGGATCAGTACACTCCAGGATCTTATACAGGATAGACGTTTGAGCTTTAGCTCCGTTGGTACCACTTAAGGCCTGGGGACTTGTACTTCATTGACAGCTCTCAGGATGATATAACTTTCATATGCCTACTCGAGTACCAAGGAGGACACCAGCCTCCCTTTCCCCCTCAATATCCCTGAGGATACATCTTCAGATTCATCAGCATCCCCAAAGGACCTCTCTCCATTAGTTTCTAGCACGGCGGAGATTGTAAAAGCCCCGGCTAGTCCAACTACAGATAAAAGGGGACTAGATGAAACTCTAGGTCATCGAGATGGTTCATGTAATAGGAACACTCGAGATATAGAACAGCTAGTACTTCTAAGACGCAAAGAAGATCCATCTTCTGTAAGTGGGGACATTACTCAAGATATGGAGCAGTCAGAATACCAGTACAGACCAATGCCTCTAGGTGAGGAAGAGATCATGAGGATCTACAAGGACGGGAGCTATTATCCTCTGGACATGATTGAGAAACCAGGAGGTCTACATTTAGAAGGATCTAGTATCAGAGACGGAAGAAGCTACTCTCTGCAAGCAACTCCCCATTACCCATTTGTGGAAGCTTACTCAGATTCAGAGTTGGAAGAACTCCTAAGAGATACTCCTGAACCTGGAACTACTTCAGCTCCTATCCCGGACCCAGAGTTCTCTTGAACTCCAGGAGCAGCTAGGATTTCAACAGAAGCAGTCAATGTATCAGCTGGTGATAAAAATAAATAAATAAATAAATAAATGAAAAAGATCGTGAAAGACCCCCCAATGTGGGATCCCTAGACCGTCTCCGGGAAGGGTCTCAGTCAGGTGCTGATTCCCCTGCCGATTCAATCTGGCACCCTAATCTCATTCCCCCTACTCTGAGGGAAATCAATTAGGGCAGGTACATATCAGACGCCGTCTAGCCATTCATCCTGATGGCGAAAGTGTACCCTGCAATCAAAAGTGAGGCGAGAAGCAGCAGCTACCTGGATATGGAAGCTTATGTGGACCAACTACGGTCCCTTGTGGAAAGCCTGCTTCCCTGGTTAAAAGCTGATGTCTCCTCTTCTGGCTCTTCAAATCCCAGGACTCCTAGTCCAGATATCGCACTAGAGGATATATTGGAGTTTGAGGCAGCTGCTCAGAGAAATCATACTCCAGAACCTTGTAATGAAGTGTTTAAGTTCAGAGTCCCTGAACCAGAGCAATTGAATGAATCTCAGGCAGCTACTCAGATAAGCCCAGACTAAGAGCATCAAAACGAGATATTTAAGTTCAGTTTTGAACCTAGAGGAGCTACTTGTAGGAATCCAGACCAAGAGCAGCTAAGCAGTTGTCTTGATACAAGGGAAGCTTTAAGGACTAATTTTCAGCATTATCTGAGGACTAGACGGAGGGCTACTGTACTTGAAAGATTAGTTGAAGACTACTCGGGGATTGAATTTAGGCCTAGTACAGGCCCATCAATAGCCCAGGAAGAATTGAATGTACTCAGGTCCATCCTGGATAGACAGAGAACTAGTAAACTCTCTTTAGCTGAACGATGGTTTTCTCAATCATCTGAAGGACCTTATTAAAACAGGATGATAACAATGATGACCATGATGATGACCATGATGATGACCATGATGATGACCATAAAAATAACCATGATGATAACAATGATGATAATGATAATAATAATGATGATTACAATGATGATAACAACGATGATAGCCATGATGTAGACAATGATGATGACCATGAGGATAACTATGGGGATAACAATAAGGATAAAAATGACGCTGACAAGGGCATTAACCACGATGATTACAATTAATAATAGAAGATACTTGTATACAGATATGATTGCTAACAGTTGAAAACATCTGAAGTAACCTTTAAAACCTGAATAAACGTACAGATGTATCTAATAAATATAAACTATTAAACTGATTATTCCCAATTGATTTATAATCCGAGAGACGTGGACAGAAAGGCTATTAAAGTGATTGCTATCAAAACAAGGGTACGGGGATCTTGATTTAAATATTTGCGTAAGCCCTACAACCATGGGTGCAATTGATGGATCTCGAAACTCCCTAGTATTTACTTCTGGCTTGTTATATCAATATTTACAACAATAAAAACCTACTAAAATTCATTGCCGAAGAAAATATCATTATTGGTGCTATCACAACGCAAACCCGTGTTGGTGGGGGGGGGGGAAATTTAGATTTAATACTTCCTGCACTATTTCTTACCATTGATTAACAGCTGATGAAAGATCGTCTTCCTGTCTTCTTTGTTCTGCATGCCTTCTCTGCTTCTCTACCTGCTCCACCTTCTCCTTCTTCTTGAAGGAGTTGACGAGGGCCTGCAGCTCCTGGGAGTGCTTCTCCTGCAGAAACAATCATAATATATATGTTGCTACAAGATAACAAAATTATAATAGAATAAATTAAAACAGGTACAGGCAATCTTAACCAAACTTTGAAAAAATACAGACTAACAGTTCAGGATATATTTTTCAATAAAAATATTATCGTCAACAGAGCCCGAGGTTTAAAACTTCGGCTCGAGCTGTAATTACTTAAACCCGACTTTATGGCCCAATCTTCGAACCGACTCTGACGACAGCTTGTGGCACGTGATTGACACCTGCGAGATCCTCGGCTCGACTTAAGGAGTTAGGCCCAGTAAAAATAAAACCGACCTTGGTTGGTTTTAGTGGAGAATAAGGCTCAATGTTGAGTCTTGTTTTCGTAAAAACCCGGAATGCGCCAATTACAATCATGAAAATCCGCCAAATACAGTATTAAACCGGTTTTTTGAACTCATCGTTGTTGAAAATGAGATCCAGCTTTACTCCCATAGCTGAGCCCGCGATTTAAAAGCTTCGGCTCGAGTCGTAATTCCTTAAACCCAACTTTAAGACCCAATCTTCGACCCAACTCTAACGACAGCTTGTGTCACGTGATTGACAGCTGCAAGATCTTCGGCTCGACTTAAGGAGTTAGGCCCAATGAAAATAAAACCGACCTTGATTGGTTTTAGTGGAGAATAAGGCTCAGTGTTGGGTCTTATTCTCATCAAAACCCGGAATGCGCCAATTCCAACTATGAAAATCCGCCAATTATAACATTAAACCGGTTTTATGAACTAAATTCTGTTGAAAAATAGATGCAACTTAAATCCAAAAGCCCGAGCCGTATATAAGGCTCAACAACAGCTTAGACCCGAGTCGTATTTTCTTGAACTTTTTAAATCGCCGGCTCTGAAGATATAAATATAGCTGAAGCTATAAATAAGGCCCAACGACAGCTTAGACCACAGCCGCATTTTCCTGAATTTTTTAAATCGCCGCCTCAGTTTAGTTAAAGCACAATCAAATCATTTATAGTTTTTATTATTGTTTTATTAATGCAAAAGATGAAATTTTCTTGATGGAATACTTTTAAGCAATGGATAAAATTATTCTATATTTCAAATCAAATTATGTAATGTTTTTGTGAAGTCACCATTTCACACTCCACAACGAAGTGGATTTAGTAAATCTAAATAAGCTAGAGGCTTTTTAGTTTGTCATGGATTGGTAATTTCTTTCTTCCTTAAAGGGACTGTGAACGTAGTTTTAAATAACCTTCACTTCCGATTCAAAACTGTTTGGCTGCTTATGTATGAACTAAGTATCCGTGTTTATAAAATAAAAGAATAATATTTTCATGTAGAAATCATCAAGCTGATGAAAACTACGTTAACTTCCACATTATTGATCAGATAAAGATTTCATTGGCACCGCTGTGAATCAGACATGTCCCTCTTTAACGCAGGGTCACATAAAATTACGCCTTTAAATCCTTTAAATCTAATTTAGATTGGTATTGATTTTTTTAAACCTTTTCTTGTGGTTGTTTAGCAGGGAGTCCAGGAGGTCTATCCTCCATGATGAGGCTTTGCGAGGACACCACGGAGGTTAAAGAGGCCACAGACTCCAAGCTGGAGGTCTCCCTGGACTCTGGCCTCCGCATCAACTTGACAACCTGCTGTCCAGACTAAACAAAGATTATTTATAATAATTTTATCAAACCATTGATCAATCAATCATTGATGTATTATACTATCAATTCGACTAATTATCAATTCAATATATCATATATTCAATCAAAGAATAATTCCTTGAATGAATATTTGAATTTATCTGAAATAAACTAAGACAATGTATAGCATTAGGAAATGCAATCTAAACATGACCCAATAGAAATAGATTTTGAAAAAGGCCCACCCCTTCCAATTAACAGTTTCAATCAACAACTTAATTTCAATCAATCTTTAATTCATTTAAATACTAATTTTATCGATCATTTCTACTATCACTCAATAAAAAGAATTCAATCAGTTATAAATTCAATAGTTCATTAATTCAATAATTCATTTATTTAATAAATAAGCAATTCAATCAATAATCAATTCAATAAAATACTAATTCCATAAAAGATTCATTCAATAAATCATCCTTTCAATCAATAATAATCATTCATTTAACAAATCATTGATTTAATACCATAAATTCAATCAATCATTAATTCTATAAATCTTTTATTCAATAAAGCATTAATTCTAGATCATTAATTCAATAAATCAAATCAATTGGTAAATACCTTGGAGAAAATCCTCCAGTTTGCTGATATTCCTTTACTAATGATCTCAGTCAACCCTTTCTTTTCAGGTTTGGAAGACGACGTAGATGATCCGATCTAGAACAGAAGAGAATATCAATTAAAGAGTCCCATTTAAACATTTTATTGAAAAACAATGATATAAGGATATCTTAATTTTTCTATCTGATAAAGGTTTAATTTTTTACTTTTTCTACTATGGCTCTGCTGCTATAAATCCGTAAGTCACGTTTATACAAAACCCACCATTTGAAATTTTAATCTATGAACGAGAATATATTCATATTTGCTGCTTGGCAGAAGGATGAAAGTTAGTTGATCTCTCTAAGTCTGAATTTCGGTAATTAAATCTTAAAATGAATTTACTTGATTTACCATATATTACTGAACCTAAACCCTGTTACATTGCCAAGAACCTGAATTCATCTAAGATCTAATTGAACCAGAATGTATCCGAGATATAAAGAACATGAATTTATTTAATAAACTGAATCAATAATTTCGTAATTTTCTTAAATACCTATTGACTGGATTCTTAAAACACTCCCCTTTATACCTGTGACTGCCTCTTTGTTTATCTAGACCGAATCCATAAAACGCCCTTTATACCTGTATCCCTAATTCCTTAATGTATGTAAATCTAATAAACTGAATCTCTGAATCCTGCCCTGTATACCTGAGACTGAATCCCAGAATCGGCCTGTGAAGATGCTTCTGATCTCTGCTCAATATTGCTGACACTACTGAACCCAGTGATGCTGGAGAGACTAGAGAGAGAGCAAGTATCATCTCTATCTGCTCGGACAGGTACCTGGAGCAATAAAAATTGTTTCTAATCTCAAAATGGTGTAAATCTGGTATAAATCTGGTCACTATCTGGTATAATTTGATTACAGTACCTGAACCATCCCGTATCTATGAAGAGTGGATCGGGGGGATTCAACTTCAGGAAGAGGATAATGTGAGATGGATCCATCCTCGTTTACAACCTCTGTACACACACACAGATAAACAAATATTTTCAAAATCGGACAAATTTGGAGTAATAAAAAATTATATATAAGAAACAAAAATTCTTTGTGTGAAATTGATCTAATTTAACAAGCTTGATTTCGACATCCGCTGTGACAACTTCAAAATTTCAGAATAATTAATTTTATTTATTTATTTATTGGCATGGGTTCCGACCAAGAGGAAGTAGATTAATTCAATTTAAAAACGAAGATACGGATTACTGTCTTTTCCCGGGATTCACAGCATTGAAGTTTTTATCTTGATTTTTTTTATCCTTTATCTCTGCATTTTGATGGTGTAAACACATAATATTTCAAACTTTATTTTTTAATCTATTTAAAGTTGTTTCTAAGACTGACTACAACATCTAGTTGAATTATAAAATGATTTAAAGAGTTTATTAAAAGCTGATATTAACAATATGAAAACTTCCTCGAAAAAAATGTCAAGAGAAAAAAATAAAAAGTGCGGAGCTTTTTAAACGGATTAAAATCAACTTAACTAAGTTTGATCTCTTTGATCTGGTTTCCTAAGGTTCTTGGAAGACTGAAAGCTTTTCTATGACCAAGGACGTATCTTGCTGGTTCTTCAGATTTTATATTTCCTTTAGCTAATCCGGAATCCACGATAGTTTCGGGATTCAATCCGGAATTTACCATTGTTTCAGGATCTAATCCCGATTTATCTAATATTTCGGGAGTTGACGTGATTACTACTGCATTATAATCTAATGCTTCTTTTGACTCAGAATCCTAAAAAAAAAAAAAAAA